TGTGTGTGTTGATGTGTGTGAGTGCGTGAGTGAGAAAGGAGCTTCCAAGAAAGAAAACCCGAGTGTTTTGAGTTTAATTAACCGTACTTCTAATCTGTGCGCTTTTTAGCAGCTTATTATGCAATCTGATCGCAGGAAGCTGTAGTGGTGATTACACACGATGATAGACTATCTATATATGCACACACACACATATAAAGTTATATATTTCAAAATTATGTAGCAGGAAACAAGTAGGGTAATCAAACCACTACATACAATCCTTCTTATGATCTCATGCACACCCATACAAACACACACACACCGCTCAGATGTTCACGTGGTTTCGCGGGTTACAAGAGGAGAAAAAGTTTTCACCTCTTCTTCGCTGGATGAAGAAAAACCATAAAAACAGCACCTGCTCGCTTGTTCTCTCTCCATCCCAACTGCGCCTCCCGCCCTCCCCCTCCTCCGTCCGTCTGTCTGTCTTTGAAGGGAGGAAAAAAAAAGAAGGCGGTGAGGTAATGAGACGAGCTGTTTGGCTGCTTTCTAACGGCATTAAAAACATTACATTTGCATCTTAAAACTGATTGGACAGGTAAGAGTTTGGCGTCTTCCTCGAGGCCGCGAGATGGGGTCAACAAAACCTGCCAAGTTCAAATATCTTCGAGCGGTAGGGCATTAATCACTGCACACGTGAAGGCTATGAGGTGATGAAACACGCAGATCACTGGTGCATCGCTGTGGAAACGGATCAGGTTGTCTTTTGGATACGAGAGATGCTTGTTTAACAGTGTGTTCAGTGCCAGAAAATGAACTGTTTACTTCCACAAATTATGACTCTGCTTTGTAATTAACAGACCTTAGATCAGCCCGAGAAACACGTATAACTGCGTCTCCTGCTGACTTGGATAAATATGACTGGAGCCAATCCTGTGGAGCTGTTGACCTCTGTTGACCTCCCTTGAGCTCAGAGACAATTACTTACAGCACCGCTACATAAAGCGCTCAACAGACAATCAGGAAGGACCGTTTTCATTGTTAAGCCCCTTCGTTTAGCTTTCACAGTTTAAAGTATAAACCCAAGATGCAAAAGACTAACATCCCTAAAGTTAAAAACAAAAGCCTGTCCCTAATCTTGAGAAGTAATGACACATCAAATGTGCTCTCATTGGATGAATCCCTCACTGAAGCTCTTTTATAAAGCGGTGATCCCTGGTGTGACATTCCTCAAACAAACTTAGCTGATAATAAGATCAAAATATCTCTCTTCTCTGTCTCTCTGAGATGCATGTTCACAGCGTGGTTTAAACGCCACAACACCATCAAAAACATTGTTTGTCTAACGCCATCATAATTGCACCTACAGAATAGTTTTAAGGCTTTGTCCTCTGCCCGTTCCAGCCTATCATGAGGCTGCAGGCTACGTTTAAAATGACCAACAACACAGCACCGAGCTACCTTAAGGAACTCCTTAAATCGTATGTTCCTGCCAGAGCATTAAGATCATCTACTCAGTTACTCTTGGTGCAGCCTAGATCTCGGCTGAAGTCTAGAGG